GATAAAATGTCTAATGTCTGCAGAATTTCATTTCTTCCCATGTAACAGACCATCAGAGCCGGAGGCTCCATTCTGTTGTGTGGGGTGAGATATGAGAATCCTTGGATTGACCAAGCAAACCCAAGGTGGGTTCTCTGGAGGCCACTGGCCTGGGACCATACTAGATGTCACTGTTGTTTCTAAAATTTCTTGGAGAATTGCAGCCAATCTCATTTATGTTTTTGATCTGCTCTCTCAGATGTCCCAAGGATGCTGGAATGAATTAAATCTTTTATTAACATAAAATCAAGGCACACACTAAAGCAGGGACCCTCCTCATTAGTCATTAGCTACTACTGGATTAATTTGTTTTACATCTGAATAGATCTGCAACATCAACTGTTAGTTGTGCTTTTTTCCTGTGATAATGTCCATATTTTGCACAGTTAAAAAATTCCATTGAATTAAAGTACTCCCTGTTTCAGCAGTAATGATGTACTAGATCTACTAATGCTTGATTCCAAAACAAAATAGTAAAATAGTGGCTTGTACATTTGAGGGGCTGGCCAGTAGTTCAGATTCTTGGTTCTATTGGGCTCCATGAGCTATATTTTCTGCTGCTTCAAAAATGTGCATGCTACAAGAACAATAAATACTTCCCTGTCTTAACTTTGGGTTCTCACCATGGAAACATCAAACCAACAGCTGGACTCTGTTAGATGCCTTTTCATTCACTTGGCTGGTACAAATCTTTTGAGGGAACTTTAATTTTATTTGGTGGATAACCTCTATTTTTAAATGACATCACTGCTTCACTTGGTCAGATATTTGTCGTAACTGATTAGGATCACTAATTGGAAATTTTCAATCTCATCTTGGGCCCTGGATAACTTAGAAACAGCCTTAAAGTTTAATAGAAATTATGAGTCACAGAAAGGCTAAGCTGAAACTATAGTTTAAACATTTGTTAATACAGACTGATGTAAGCAGAGCCCAAGGGAGCACTTGGCTATAAATCTAGCAGAATATTTCGATGACATATTTTTCATATAATTATGAATATTTCAATGACATATTTTCATCTAATTATGACATAAGATGTATATACATTTCACAGAACTTAAATGGAGCATTTAAAATGTCTGCAAAATCCCACAATGTCAGTTCCTCCTTGATCTTCGGAACTTTGCTCTAATAATCCTGTAGATGCCTTTTCAGGCTACATAGGTCCTCAGATTGAACACTTTCAGGGTGATTATGTTTCTTCTTCCTCACAAGCTTGTAAACCCAACAATGAGAACCTTTTTATACCACTGTGTCCCTTGTACATAATAAGTATTCACTGAAACATTGGTTGGATAAAAGGAGATAGACTTCATACTTAGACTTGATTTACAAAAATTGTGTTTTATTATTTTTGAAGCATCCCAATTGCGTAGAATTGGATCAGACATCCTTGGCTAATGAAATGCCATCATTGATTGAAATAGAGTTCTGTTCTGGTTTATTGTTATTGTTGTAAGGTGAATCATCCCAGAAACCACATTTTGAAATATGAAATATTGGAGTCTTTATAATACAGTTGACAGGCTGCAGGCAGCCAATTGTTATAAAGGCCTGTAGCCCCCAAATATACATAACACAGCTAGGAAAGATGCTAAAGAGGAAAGAAATAACAAAAACAATACCAACAAGCCAATTCAGCTTCAATGGAGAGCTGAATTAGGACGCCATGATGACTGGAGATGAGCCAGGAGATAGGACACAGGACACAGAATCATGGAGACAAACGTGGTATAGCATGATGGTGGCTAGGCTGGTCTGGGTTGGTGCAGAGGGCAGATCCACAGCAAATTCCCAGTCCCAGGCACTAGAATGACAGATTAAATAACCTCTCAGCCAAGTGCCAGCCACTGCTTCCAAGGATCTGGTCATGCCTATTTTCTGGGAGGCAGATGATGGGCAGGGGCTTTCTTCCCCCATAATGAAGACAAGATGCCAGACCCTAACATCTACCATGTGGCTAATATGGTGCTGGCCAGACCTGACCTCCTTACTTCATTAAGTATCAATAAGATGATGGCCTAACCAAAACAGTATCACTTCCCACTCTCTCATTCACAGACCCAGTAACTATTGTGTTTAAACGTGTGTATCACTGTCTTGCTGGGGTTTTTATTTTGTTTTATAGAGTTATTTTACACACACACACACACACACACACACACACACACACACAAAACCAAATAATGTATTATACAACATTACCCTTTTGAAATTTATAAAATTCTGATCATCTCATATGTTTCTTCTCCAACTTACCCTCTCTCCTCACTGTGCTTCTGATGGTCTTCCTTGTTGTGTAAAATTGTAGTTCATTAATTTTCACTGCTTGGAGTTGACAACAATTGCTTTCTCTTTGTGCTATTGGTGGCTATTTGAGATATTTCCAGCTTTGGTGATTATGCTGCTAAGAATATTCTTGGGCTTAATCTGACACATATGTACTTTTTATTATCCTCATGGAAGGATTCTTGTCCTTAGCACTGTTGGCATTTTGAATATAATTAGTCTTTATTGTGAGGACCAGCATGGGCATTGTAAGATGTTTGGTAATATCCTTGGTGTCTACCTACTATATTCTAGCAACTTCTCTTCCATTCAGTTGTGACTTCTAAAATTGCTTAGGATGACATTTTTAGGATGTGATGCAAATGTTTAACTTTATAAGATAGAGTTACCATAGTTGGTATACTTATTCACACGTCTGACACGAGAGTCTAAAAGGCTGTATTTCTTATGTTCTCTTCAAACATAGTATTTTCAATTTTTCCCAATGGATATGAATGGTGGTCTTAATTTATAACCCCCTTATTTACAGAGAAGAATAAGATTCATTTTTATGCAAGTTTATTGGTGGTGCTATTTGCTAACTTTTATATGGTATGTTATCTTTAAAATATATTTTGCATACTTTGATAGTTTGTATCTATGAGATATAAATGTTTACTGTGAGTGTATTGCTCAACTTTCCCTCATCCCAATTTGCTTTGGTCCTAGAACATGCTGTAGTATTGTTCTGAGAGTTTGCCTTGTGCTTTTGAAATAGCTCAGCAAAGGTCATTTGTGTTTTGAAGTCTAGGAGACAAGACATGAGTCTAAGACCCAAATTTGAGAAGTTAAATTGCTTTTGGTAGAAACTTTGCCCTGTTCAATTTGTTAGGTTGAAGGCCTCTGGGTTGTTTTTCCAATATGAAAAGGGTGGTCCCAAATCAGGAGTTACTTGTGGTAAAAAAAAAAAAAGAAAAGAAAAAAAGAAAACACCTATTAGTTCATAGCAAGCTTGTACCTGCTCCTTAGCAATAGAGGTATCTGATGCTCAGAAGCCAAACACCCAGAATTACTTAGCACAGATATAAACAACAGGGAGTCAGAGGTGGTATTATAAAAGAAGGTCAATGGGTTCCAGGAAAATGAGGGATTGAGAATCTCAGAAGTTACAATGCAGGTGATCTATGTGGACAGTGACTTAAGTCAGATGATGTCAGGGCTTAGTGGGCAAAATAGAGTAATAATCCAGCTGTCAAAGTTTTTAGCTCCTGCTCATCTACCTGCAAAAGAAAAACCTATCTTAACAACAGCCAAAAGAAGCTGTGTATGCTTATATCTGTAATCTCAGATATTTTAAAGCAGAGATAAGAGGATCATGCCTAGAGGTCAACCTGAGTGAAAAAAAAAATGCAGAATTCTAACTCCACAAATAAGACAAACTTGGTGGCACACATCTGTAACCACAGCTACTCAGAAGGCAGAGGTAGAAGGATCATTATTCAAGGATGGCTCAGGCAAAAATGGTACAGATCTTACCTAGTTGTGAGTTCAAACCTTAATACCACCAAAACAGAATTAAGAAAAAAGAAGAGCGGATGAATGAATTTATCATCTCTGTGAGTTAGCTTTTTATTGTCATGACAAATACCTGAGAGAAACAATTTAAAAAGAGGAAAGATTTAGCTCTCAGTTTGAACTTTTAGTCCATTATTTCTGGGCCTGTGCTCAGATAGCACATCATTACGTAAGAGGATGATGGAGCAGAGCCACTCCCTTTCTGGTGTCCAGGAAACAGTAGAAGGGACAGGGGACAGCGTAAGTCTTTCCCAGGCATGTCCTTAGTGACCTATTTCCTACAACAAGGCCCACTGTCTACTTCTCACCACTTCAGAATAATGCCATCATATTCTGAATCCATCAAGGGATTAATCATTGACTAATCAGCTACCAACTTATTAGCTAAAAATCTGCTAGCTAGCAGCTAAGTCCCTGTATGTGTACCATGAGGTTGATGCCAGATTGGTCCTTGATGGTTTCTGATTGAAAGAGTTACAATGACAGTGTGCAAACTTAGTGATTGTCTTAGCAGCTGCTTATCACCAAGAACATATTCTGGATGATTCTTTGTGTGTGTACATGAAAGAAGTTCTACCAAGGCTAGCAACTTCTCTGAATCACATGCAATAAGTCAGTGTAGTGACCTCCAACCAACTTAACAACAAAATATGGTCTCTTCTAGGTTTGATATTTCCTTAACATTTAAGGTACCATACGATTGTTTGCTGTCTTCTAATGGATTAAAAGTGTTCTATTGCTGGGCACTGGTGGGTTACATCTATTAATCCCCGCTGAGATCTGAGCATCACAGTTTGAAGTCAGCCCAGGCAGGAAAGTCTGTGAGATTCTTATCTTCAATTAACCACCCAAAAAATGTGAGCTGTGTCTCAAGTGGTAGAGCACCAGCCTTGAGAAAAAAAAAACAAACAAAAATCAACCACAAAAACAAAGAGACAATGCCCAGGCTCTGATTTCAAGTCCCAGTACCAGCACAAGAAGCAAGAAGAGTACACCTTTCCATTTCAGCCACATGTGGTTTTCTTTTGTGCTTTATCTTCCTGTTTTTGTCTAATGTTCATCTTACTTTTCCATCTTGTCTCTGTGTGCATTTCTGTTTTGCTTGCCTGTCTCAGGGATGAGGAGGAGGAAGAGGAAGAGCCAATCACGGAGCCCAATTCAGAGGAGGAGAGAGAGGACGAGGCCCAATGTCAGGGCAAGGAAAGGTACCGAGGGCTGGACCCTCCCAGGCTCAAGCCCAAAGCCTGAGGCTCCTCTTCAAAGGATGGTTTGCTACCACCACCTTTGCATAATTGCACTTCTCACCAGCTCATAGGGACAAACGTTCACTTTGTGCACAGAGCCACAGAATGACTAGTTTTTAGAAATAACTGAGCACATTTTCCCTTGAGAATGGTATTTTTTATTCACATCCTGCCTACTAACCACACTTTATGGAAAAATTACCCAATTGATTTTCTGCCTATTATTCTCTCCTTCAATCAGTGCTTTGCCTCAGAAAGATTGATGGAGACTATAATGGCTCACTTCTGTTGATATTTTAAGCCTTTCAGCATTGTAGTAAAGAGTTGCTGGTGCCCTTCTTCCCACTAATTTTGCTAATACATGGTTATGCAAAAATGTGTGGGTAACTCCTAGGTTAATGATCCAAATGTTCCAAATGGATAGGAACTTTTCCCAGATAGCAAAGGGAAAATTTCTTGTATTGACGTTTGTACTCAAACAAACCTATAGGGCAGCAGCCTTTTGGGAAGTTTATTCTTATGTAATCAACCCAGCAGAGAGCATTCTCTTATCTTCAGGCAGTGTTAACATGCATAGGTACCTTGCACATATTTTTAAATTTTGTAGGTTTTGTTCCCCCCAAATAAGTTCTTTCTAAAAATAAAAGTACTCATGGGTAATTTATTTGTTGATATGCAAAAATAATTTAAACTTGGATGTGTTCCTTACCCTTGCAAATTAATGCTCCTTTAGTGTTTTGTTGTTGATTTTTACAAATAAGCAAAGTAGGAAAGTTTTTGGATGGCTTCCAGTACCTCTTTCTCTTACCAATTTTGAAGTTGACACAGCACTTGGCACTGATACCTCATCAGCCAGGGCTGTCTTTGCCCATGAAATTCTTATATGACACTCTGAGTCTCTCTTTATTCCAAATGGTCTTAGAATCCTCTATGAACTGGCAGGTGATTTTTTTCCCCTACATATATGTAGAGAAAGGAAAGGAATGAACTGATCATGGAGCATTAGCCATACATTTCAGAATGAAAGGGGAAAAACAAAAACAGCCCCTTGCTTGTGTTGATGTACCAGGCTTGCAGACAGTGATGGGTTAATTAGGGTACTTTGGGAAGGGAGGAAATTTGGATGCCAGTCCCACCTCAGTCCTGCTGTAAAGTATGTAGACTCTTAATACCCTTGTATGCTCCCTTAGTTGATGAATGTGCTCATACCATCCAATACGTAAATCTTTAAATCCTCCTGTGGTCATATGGCTCAGTACCTTTAAGACCAGGTGGAAAAATCTGGCTAAAAACATCAACCTTCAGAGGAATCCCTATGGACAGTGTGCTTTCTGCACCTTAGATTGTTACTTATACAGGCAGATAAAGAATCCTTAGGCCATGAAGAATCTGATTGCATGAATTAATACGGGAAGGCATTATTCCTAAAGACTAGTTAGGCATTTGAGTTTTAAGAAATAAAGGTGTGCGTATTAAATACCAGAACTTAATCTTGACAATACCCAGGTTTTCATTAACCTTGATCCAGAAGTTGTTGGCTCTCTAATATAAACCTGTGAAACCATGAAGCGGCAGGAAGTACTGGTGCTTGCTTCTGCATGGAGAGTGGCCTCGCTGCTCCCCCATCTCCTGGCTTCTGCTGCTTCAATGCTTCAGTGTCATACTCCCTCAGAAAGCAGTGTGTCCCTGCTATTGCCTGTAGGTGGAGCTCTCAAAGGAAGTAGCTCACTTCCCATGTGCACATGGATATGGCTGGAAGGGAGGCTGTGATTTTGAAAAATGCAAAGTTTAACATTGGTTTTAAGTTTACAAAGGTATGTGTTAAAATACTCAAATATCAAAGTCCTTTGAAGACGAGGAAGTTTGTCATTTAAAAATAATTTACTTGATGCAATTGGATAGACAAGGTATATACAATTATGTGATTATATATAGTATATTGATCATCACAATTAGATAACTTACCACCACTTACAGTTACTATTTGTAGGAGTAGGGTGTAGGAGTAGGGTGTGTGTGTGTGTGTGTGTGTGTGTGAGTGAGAGAGAGAGACAGAGAGAGACAGAGAGAGACAGAGAGAGGATGATGATGATGATGATGATGATGACAGCGATGATGATGATAATGATTATTGATAGCTGTAACTCTTGACCTGTCTAAAGGAGCTTAAATGTTGAAGGCTTAGAAATTGGATCTGAACAGAATGTAAGCAACATTCTTTGGTATCCTGTCACCTTCCTTTTGGCTCTTTGCTTTCCTTTCTGGCATTTCTTCTTTTCTCATATCTGTCTATGCTTTTAAGAACAGCTTTGAAAGCAGTTAGTAAAGAATATACAGAAGAGCCTGAAGGTCAGGGTAAATGCCCTCCTAGGTCTCTGTATGCCCACAGAGATAGGCAAAGCTGGTGGGCCAAGTCTGACTGGGCAAACCAAAACTTTTGGTGATGGAATTGGATGTTGTAGCTCAAAAGATTCATCTGGAGTAGAAGTTAGTGACTGTCATATAGTGAATTTGATACATCTCTCTTTCTCCTAACTTTGCTTTCTCTCTCCCAAATACTTGTTTTCCTTTCCTCCCCTCCATCTTGGACCCACAGCAAAGCCAGCTCTCCCTCCAAGCAGAGCCCCCATGGGAAGTACGCTGATCCAGAGAGCTCTGGGCTCCCAGCCATCTCAAGTGCCACCTCACATGGAAGGCAGCTTCCAGGCAGGCCTGAGGCCACCCAATCTACTCTTCTGCCACCTTCCAGCCCTGCTGTGGCCAATCTGTCCTCTTCCACCATGCCCAAAGCATCCCCCACTATAAACAAGCTGCCCTATGTACCTCACAGTCCATTTCACCTCTTCTCTTATGACTTTGAAGACTCTCCTTTATCCACCAAGGACAAGGAAGCAGAGCCCCAGAAGGAAAACAGGTAGATTGCCTCACATTGAGGCCTGTGTGAGACTAACCTGGAGTGAGTGCAGCACATTAACTCCTCTTCTGCCATCTTTGTGTGGATTCAGTCAGAGCCCAAACTAACTCCATGTATCAATGGGGACTAGTGTTTACATGAACTTCAGAAGAAAACTACCACTTGTGGGAACAGATAGCTGCTTAACGGGGACTTAGACATAAGGTTTTTTGGAAACACGGTCTGTCAAAATTTATACATCTCACCTATCCGTCCAGCATGTAGTCTTTCTACCTGCCAAATATAGACAATTGCTTGGGTCTCCTCCATGCAGCATGGCCATTGTATTTCTTCTTTTTTTTACAGTTTTCCTGACTCTGTCTCTCTGAGCACACACACTGCCTCTGAGCCTCAAAGCTTGCGGTCTTTCTCTTCCCAGAGGTGGGTATCTTGTCCTTATTTTCCCTTTTCTCTAGCTTTCTGCTCTGTTTTCTATTATATGCATTTTTAGCTTCTTTCTTTTGTCCTTCCATTTTATTTTATTTTTTAATATTTTGGGTGATCCTGGGGTTGGAACCTAGATTCTTATACTTGTGGAACAGGTATTTTACCACACCTCCATTTTTCTTCTCAAAGATTATTGCTCAGGAATGATAAACAATGGAAGTTCAAGCCACTTTAGGGAGGATTAAACTAATTACATTATTTAACTATGAATATTAAAGTGTTATAATAATAAATTTTATTGGCTATTATAGAGTAGATGAAGGTGTACAAATCCAAATGTAGCAGAGAAAGTGTAATCAGTGCTTGTCTGTCACATGACTGCCCTTTGTTCTTGCCTAAGTTGGGAACTCTTTGCTGCAGTGGAGAACAGGAACAGAAGGTCAATAGATTTTCAGTGATCTGTGTTCCCAGTTGTAGATCATTCTAATGTCTACCTCATCATAGAATCATAGCTAATATTTCTTGAACATTTTTATGATCCAGACTCTGTATTTTCCATAAAGTTGGAAAACAGCCATTAAGAAGTAGACTGTCCAGGTTGGAGGCATGGTTCAGTTGGTAGAGTGCCAGCCTATCAGCAAAGAATCAGGTACCAAGTTCAAGTCCTGGTCTTAGAACAAACAAACAAACAAAAAAAAGGAAGCAGCCTCTTTTTCTAGCCCATAATTATAGCAAGGAACTGAGGTACAGAGAGGATAAGTAGGCCAAAGTCATTGAGCTGTTGAGTGAAGGTTTCAATCCCAGGCAGCCTGCCTCTGAGTCAGGCCCTCACTTGTGCATTGGTCAGCTGCCTGTTAGCACTGGTTCTCCATATTTAGGGGCTTGCTCAAGCCTCCCTGCCTGGGGACTTTAGGCAGGTCCTTGTAAGTGTGAAGCATTTCCCAGAGCCTGTGTTTGTGAGACCCTGAGTCTTGGTGCCTGACGTGAAGCTGGGCCTTGTTTCAAATGAAACCTTATAAAACTTAAGCCTAGACAGTAGTGCACTCTCATCATGAAGATGACTAGTCTCCACGAATATCAGACCTTCCTTTTAATAGATTGAAGGATTAATCTAGGATTAATCTGAGCTTGTCAATCATTTTCACTTACATACAACTTAAAAAGAAATGCCCAGAGTTTTAAAGTTTTGTTTTAAATCATAAATCTAAGGAGTTGTATAGGATGTAATTTGTCTATTGTATGTGTGCTTATTTTTATTGACATTTTGGGGCTTCACATTTGATTTTGTTATGAGAACATGTATAACAAAGTCAATCAGTCATCAGTCAAATGAGATCTATTTTCTGTTAGGAAGAAAAATATGGTTTCATGTTTCAATTTATTATTATTTTCAGCGGTAGCAGGATTTGAACTCATGGCCTTAAAGTTGCTAGGCCACTGCTGTCCCACTTGAGCCACACACACAGCATTTTTTTCCCTTGCTTTAAGTTACTTTAATTTTTGTTACTTTTTGTTCAGGTTGGCCATGGACTATTCCTCTACATATCTTGAATCGTAGTTGTGAGCTACCACAGCCTTTTGTTTATTGACATAGCAACTTGTTCCCTAGGCTGACCTCTGAATGTGATCCTCCTGATTTCTACCTCCCAAGTAGCTAGGACTGTAGGTATGTGCCCCTGGTGCCTGACATGTTTGAATTTAAATACGCATGTTCATAAGCATTCCTTGGACAATAATCTCACTGTGAAGTCTGATTCTCAGGTGGGGGCAGGGCAGGTAGATTGGCATTAGGTGAAAAGCTTTGTGCTGAATTTGACCCTGGATGATTATAACGCTACCTTCTGCTTCATCAGGGTGTCTTTTAGGAATTTCCTTGGAAGTGATGATTTTCCAGACTTATTCCCTTGCTTGGTATCCTGGTAGCTTCATAAGGCAACACCCTACATTGTTTCAGCCTGCTTGAGGGTTTCCGTCTTTCTAAAAACAAAGAGCTAGTGTGAGAGGAGGGATAGGAGGAGAAGGAAGATTCCAGTGAAATAGCTCAGGCAGACCCCATCTGAAGAACAAAGCACACTAAAGATCACAGAGCTCAGAATCTGCTTCCTCTTGCTTTCAAAACAGCTTTGAGCCGTGTCTCAAGACTGTAGGTTCTTATGGAGCTTGCTCAAGTTTAAAATCCTGGAACTGTGATCTTTCATATTAATTGAATAGGCCAAATCCAACAAGACTTCCACCCTCTGAAGTGGTATTGTGTGCAAGTTAGGAGCTACACCTTGGATTACAAGCATAAGCTCTCAGCCAGGCCCCAGTGGCTCATGCCTATAATCCTAGCTACTCAAGAAGATATCTGAGGATGGAAATTCAAAGCCTGAGCAGGAAAGTCTGTGGGGGCTCTTATCTCTAATTAACCAGCAAAAGCCAGATGTGGAGCTGTGGTTCAATGGCAGAAAATAGCCTTAAGTGCAAAAGCTAAGGGATAGTGTCCATGCCCTGAGTTAAAGCCCCAATACCAGGGCAGACAGGGAAGGAGAGAAGGAAAATAATTAGGTCTTGCAAACTCATCTTTCCTATTATGATGTTGCTCCCTGACAGTCTAGATTTTCTGGTGAGAGCCTCAGCCTTCGGAGAGGCTTTCCTAGTCCCAGTTTCCTTCCCCTTGGTCTCCAGGCCTCACTACATGTAGTCCTGGGGGACTGGAAATTAGTGGAAACACATAAATTACCTGTACATTGTGGAAATACAGCTACATGTTTGTGAATGAGGAATGACTTAAGACTTAACTGAGGCACAGTTTTATCATTCGGCAGGAATTTCAATCCTACAAAAATATTGTTGGTACCTATTGAATTTTCTGGTGTTCACTCATGGTGGTTTTCATGGGTATGTGTGACCACCAATTTGACGACTCAGTGGTTTAATGCAATTAAATGGGTTATAACGGAGACCAACCTATTAGTCATTAAAACAAACCCTACCCCACTCACACATAAAAATGCTGAACAGTAAATTATATGATTCAATGTGCTTGGCTGAAACTGAGAGGCAAAACTGGGCAGATGATGGAACATTTGAATTAATTGCTTGGCCATTAGAAAAACCAAAGGAGGGAAAACACATTATTCTTGTTTTATTTCCATAACGTCATTTAAGCATAATTTTAGCAAAGTGATCCTGTTAAAAATCCTCTGAGGATGTCCACTTGTGGTTGGAAGAGGCCATTGCAGCTTCTGGAGTCACATAGGATCTAAGCGCCTGGCAGCTATGCAGAGTGGCAGCATCCAGTCCTCTTCACTGAGACCTAAAGGCATCTTTCGTGGCTCCTCCTCCCTCCCTTGTGGGGAATTTGCTGCCCTGCCCTATCTCTGTCTTCATTGCATGTTAACTTCCCTTCCCTTCTTTCTTCTGGTTTCATTTCTTTATTTTGCCAGTCCTGGGGCTTGAAATCAGGGCCTGGGAAATGTCCTGGAACTTCTTTTGCTCAAGTCTGGCACTCTACCACTTGAACCACAGTGCCACTTCTGGCTTTTTCTGTTTATGTGGTACTGAGGAATCAAACTCAGGGCTTCATGCATGCTAGGCAAGCACTCTACCACTAGGCCACATTCCCAGCCTGCTGTTTTCTTTTTATGGTCCTTCTATCTTTTGCTTTTCTACCTTCTCCATCACCTGTAGTTTGCAAATCGTTATGAAAAAAAAAAAATCAACCCAACATGTACTTGGAGAAGTCGTTAACCTGCTGGACTTGTAGAGTATTGGGTTTGCTTGCTTGATTTTGTTTTTAAGAGAAGAGAATGTAAGTCTTCAGAAACCAAGAACTATGAAGGTGGCATTTTAACAGGACAGTAGGACAAAATTGTGTGGTCTTGAGTTACTCTGTCTAGTGAAGTACTTACTACTGAGCACATGTCTCATAGGTGATAAATAAAAAAGTAAGAGGCACACCAGCCATTCTGTAATCTTGTAATCTCAGCACTATCGACTCTGGGCTTGTGAGTTCAAGACCAAGCTGGGCTACACAATTGTAGGAAGAGCAAACTCAGACTCTAAAGAGACAGAGGGAGAGACAGACAGATAGCAACAACCATGGTGCAGAGTCAGCAACTTGGGATGACTTGAGAAATATAAATATTTTACTCGCCACTATTATAACACTATTATTGAAAGCTGAAATTTCATGTCTGTGTTCCACTTTGTAAAACAGATGGTCTATTTTTACTCTTTGTACATAGTCTTTTGCTTTTGAGATAACTTTACAATTATGACCATATGCTATACCATAGTGTGTTATGATGTTTTTTTTTTTTTTTAATTTAATTTAATTTTATTTGTGAACATACTGTACAGAGGAGTTACAGTTACATGGGCAGGATAATGTGTACATTTCTTACCAAGCATTGCAGCCTCCTCCTTTGTTTATCCTTCACATCCCTTCCCAGCCTCCCCCCTCCCCCCCTAATCCCAATCCTTCTCCTTCCTCCCTCCCCCCAGCCCCCCCCCCACCAACATTGTAAAGTTCGTTTTGGACATGACAACTTGTACTTCTCATTGTTGCAACAGGTCCACCTGTATCCTTAAACAACTGGTTTTTTGTTATGATGTTTTATATTATCTCTGTCAACTTTTTCTATGGTACCATTTATAAAATTGGTAATGACTTTTAAAATGGTTTTAATAAGATAGCCCATTGGTGAAACATAGATACTACTTTGTTAACCATTTCTTTGTTACCTTGATGGGAGAGTTACCAGGTTTTCACTATGAGCCAAGTAATATTCTAATATTTTTACATGTACCATTTTCAGCACACAGAGAATCAAAGGGTTATTTCCTTATGCTAGCATCCCAATAGCAGACTTAATCTTCACAGGATATACAAATTTTGAAGTACAATTGCTTCCTATAAGGGTTAGTACCAATTTCTGTTGATGGGATTTGGACTGGATTCCTCACATGTAGGAAAGCCTTTGTGCACCTTTACCATAGTGACACATCTTAATACAGTGCATCTATTAGGGAAGAGCCAATCCTGCCCTGTGCCTGGGTAAATTACAAGGCAAACCCTCCTGAATCTCATTATTTGTAACTAGTCATAAGTGCCTGGAACTGTATGAGGTTTTCAGATGAAGATTGATTTCCTGGTACTCTGAGTGATGACAACTACACACAAATAGGTGAAGGGTATCTATTTTGCAAACAGGAATTGAAGCTCAGATTTTATAAATGTGAAATGTTTCTCTAACCAAGCAAATGCTATTTTCTATAGACCTTTGCTAGAATGAATCCTAATTGTGCCATCACAGTGGTAAGGAAAAACCATTCGTTCCAGTGAAAATATTTGGATTCTTAATTTATATTAGTATTAATTTTAATAAATATTTTAAAAGATGGCAACTGTGGCCATTTTCTTTATTTTATTTTATTTTTTAAATTTTATTTTATTTTATTTGAGAACATACTGTACAGAGGGGTTACAATTACATGGGCAGGATAATGCATATATTTCTTACCAAGCATTGCAGCCTCCTCCTTTGTTTACCCTTCACCTCCCTTCCCAGCCTCCCCCCTCCCCCCCACCCAATCATACCTCCCCTCCCCCCCCCCACACCGACATTATAAAGCTGGTTTTGACATGATATTTTGTACTTCTCATTGTTGCAACAGGTCTACCTGAATCCTTAAACGACTTGTTTGTCCCCGTCTCCTCCACATGTTATACTGACATCAAATATAGTGAAAGCGGGGGTTACACTGTGGGGGAGTGGCCATTTTCTTTAATACTTTTCTTATAACTCTTTCTGCCTAATGGCTTTAGATGGGAAAACTTCTTTAAGAAGACATGATCAATGCACAGTGGTCAGTAACTCTCTATCAATTAGAATAATCACTTGCAGTAGTAGCATTGTCAGAATTATCTTTCTTTTTTATTTAATTTTTTCATTGTGAAAATACCATACAGAGCGGTTACAATTACACGGGCAAGATAATGAGTACATTTCTTATCAAGCATTGTTGCCTCCTCCTTTGTTTCCCCTTCCCGTCCCTTCCCATCTCCCCCACCCCGGTGACCCTCCTCCCCCCCTTCTTGCAAAAATTAAAGCAGTTTTTTTTCAATCTTATTATTCAGTCTTACTGATTTGTACTATTTCTGTCTTGTCTCTAATTGAAACCTCTATACTTTTTTAGATACAGCAGCCTCAGCAACAACTCTTTTTCCTCCTCAAGACCCTCATCTGGACTGAGTGTGTCCCCCACAACCACATCATCTCTCTTACCTCCACAGGAGGCCAGGACAGATAGGTGAGTTCTGGGGTATGGAAATAACTCAAGTAAGGTGACTCTGTTTGGAAAGTGTAGCTAAAGAAAAAGTCTATTATAGGTGTAGATATTGTCCTATCTACCTACATTTGTTGGAAAATATCACAATTTCTTCTAAAATATTTGAGTGTGAATGTTTTGAGTCATCCCTTAAAATGGTTCTTAGTGGTCTGTGAGTTCTACAATTTGTCTTAAACACTTCAGTTTTCACCTTTGAACACCTAAGTCTATGTTAGCCAGAAGGTAGTGGCCCATGAAGGTGCTATGTAATTAATCCAGGACCTACCAGAAGAGAAAAGAATTCTATGGGTACATGGAAGGAATTTAACTTGGCAAAAGTATTAGACCACCAGAAATTCACTGATTACTACTTCTAGAAGCCAGTGATTGCACAAGGATGTGTTTACAAGAGTAAGGTAAGGACTATAATTTTAGAACAATTAAAAACAGTTACCCTTACATGGCAAGAGTGTTGAATTAGAGGAGATTGTTTGGGGTTCCAACTCTCTCACTTGGAAGTTATTTAATCCCTGAGGGAAAATTCCAGTTTCACCAACCTTTCATAGAGGGTCATTCTTGTGAACAAATAAAATTGTTCAGATGAAGGCCGCTGTATACACTAGAGAGCAGTGTGGAGGCAATGGCTGGAATAGCTCCTGATTCACAGGGAATCTAGATGTGAGCCACTTACAGGGATCACTTGCCTTGAGTCCCAAATTAAAAAAAAAAACAAAAACCAAACTGGCCTGTGTTCCATAGCCAGATCTTCTTTTGTGTATTCTCAAGTGAGTTTTGCTGATCACTGCTAGTGATAGGGAGTTTGTCCAGGTTACAGAGAGCCAGAACCTTACAAACCCTGGGAAGGAGGCTGTCCAGTGTGGCTTGCTGAACCACATGCATTATTAGTGTCTCTAAGGTAGTGTATAAATCAAGCAACTAACTCTGAACTTCTGCAGGACAGTGAGCCCCCGAAATGGAAGCACCCAAGCAAGTTAGGTCTTAGCAATAAGGAAACCAGTTACTATCTTGAGGATTCCCTTACTTGACTCTGTCCATTAGCCTTGGCTGCATAAAGAGATTAGATATAGTTCTCTGTAGTGTTGCACAAGAATGACACTATAAGAATGACACTTGTTATACATGAGATTTGGGAGGAAGATTGGAGTCTGACTGATATTGCATGTATCACATCTGCTAAACTATCATTTCTTCTGAGCTTAAAATCAGGCTCCATTCATTTTTGCATATACTACAGTAACTGGAGCCTGACCACAGTAGAACTGTGCTGAAAGATCCAGTGAAATAGTCACTTGTTAGATGGGAATAGTTTGGAGGACCATGAAGTGAGGAAGTTACAAGGACAGGAGATTCAGATGATCTCATGTTTACTGAGGCTCTAGGCTTTGGGTATCTTCCTCCCATGTCCTAAAGTGGAAGTCCTAATCTTTACCTACCTCAAAACCCCTGGAAACCCAGGCTCTTAGAAGACACTGCTCATACTTCTTTCCATTCTTAGACTGGCTGAAGTCTCCCTGCTGGTCATGGTGGTGGTGGTGGTATTTACCTGAAAGGGTGAGACTAAATATCAGAATAACAACCTAAACAGAAAGTTATACTTTATCCTGAGACCATGGGACTGGTTATATGTTGAGATCAGGAGGGGTGAACTGCTCTTCCCTGTCAACAGCAGAGATTGAGCCAGTGGGTTGAAACTGTAGGAACAGAGGCTGTCTGGGAGCTTCTAGACTTGACTGGAGAATAGGACTGAGGGAATCAGAGATAATGAGGTTTCAGGTCTTTGTGGATGTTAGAGACAGGAACTAAGATATGCTGGAAACAAACTATAGGTAGAGAAGTTGATCCAGATGCATGCAAGGTCCCAGAAGCTGTGTGAAACCTGGGAGATGTTCTATTGGTGCAGGGCAGTGTGAGCATTCCTTGAATTGAAGCACTGGGGTTACATTACTCTGAGAACCTGCACACTGAGACCCAGTTAAAGGACAGCCAATTTTCTGGACGTTTGTTCTTTTTTCTAGATTACTATTATCATAGGAACTTACTTATCTTTGCATCTGTAATCTTCTGGTCAGTAGTTTCAAAGTGTTTATTACTTCCTTTACCTTTGCCTGTGTTTTTGACCATCATTGCTTACAGGCTTTGAAAACCCATGTGGTGAATCACTAGAAATACTACATGTATGACATTAGTCCCAGGAAGCCAGTGGGCCTGCTGACTACCACTTCTTCCTGTCACCTTGTTAATGTGTTTTATAAATCCGTGGGCTCCTCAACTCCAAGTCATTTTTTTGCAACATTGCCCAAGAATGTCAGTTGAGTTCATGATAATACATACTTTTATGCGATTTTTACTTTTTCATTTTTAACCAGAGTTCATTAGATGTTATTCACAATATAGATCTACATATGTAAGTGGTTTTTTTTTTACCTGTTAAGATGTATGGCTATCCAAGCATGGTAGTATATGACTGTAATCCAAGTTACTTAACTGGTGGCTTGTTAGTGCCAGTCCAGTTGGAGAAAGGTTAGTGAGACTATGACTCAAAAAACAAATACAAATGAAAAAGGAGGATTACTGTGGCTCTAGATGGAGGGCACTTGCCTAGCATGCATGAGGTCCTGGGTTCAAGCCCTACTAACCCAAATGCACAAGGCAATTTAGGACTATGTGAGTAAGATGTATTGTTGAGATGTTTTATATGAACATATATTACAAAGACAGGAAAGGAAAAGTCTTAGGAAAGATATGAAAAAATTGTCAATTATAGGTGCTTTTTGGCAAAGAAAACCCATATCTTCTGTCATCATACTCCTACCTAGTAAGTAGCGTGCCACAACCCCATGTACCAGTAAAACTCTAGACCTCCACTGCCATGATTTCTAAACAAGAGTCATTTCTCTGAAGTCTGGGAAAATACAGCCAGTGAAAACACCCTCCAGGCCCCTTAGACCACTTTGGAAAGGCAACTGGTCATCATGAGCTTAGAGTTTTTCATTTTCTCCCAAGCATGTTAAAATGTTGGATGTTAATAAAACTTGGAAAGATAAATTGAGAGGAAGTGTTGAAGACAAAAAAAAACTATAAAAAAATTAAGTCAAGACAAGGATATTAAAATGGATCCATCTCCAGTTATGTTACAGCTTCATTTAAAGGGCCCTATTTTAGAAGCAGAATGTAGCATTAACTTTCATGAAATTGGAGCTTAAATCGTGCCAAAACAAAACAAGAAAACCAAAACTATTTACAAAGACCCTCGGGGATACAAAATGCAACTGTTTCATAAAAGCAGAGACTTGAAAAAAATGCCTCAATTTTGAAAATGTACTTTCTGAGCAGAGAAGTTCTAAATATTTTCTTTTAGAAAGACAACAAAATTACAGGAATATTTGAGCCATTTGTTTCAAGTATTGAAATGAAACAAATAAGCAAGCAAACAATAACCACACCATAAGAGAGACTGTGGCTTTGAGTCTTGTGAAAGGCAAAGCACATTCTCTCTCCAAACCTACTGTGAAGTCTCCATCTTGTGGACCTTGTCAGAAATGGCTGCTGGAGGCTTTGGTGGTGGATATGGATATGTGAGGAAACAGTAGGGCCAAGGGCTGATGATGGTGCCTTAATGCAGTCAGTCAGGGACTAGGGAGTCCTCGGAGAAAGGAGCTTGTCCTGAACTGCTCAGTTGGGAGGACATGGGAGGGTCCTTGGGTTCAGACTTTAGGGAGGACCTCTTTGTGGACATGATAAGCTAACATCTGCAGGACTGCTGTTATCTCCTTCCACTTATAGCAGTACCATTACTTCTCATAAAATACACTCACCTGCCTATTTAATATATTAACGTTCAGAGACCTTGGAAGACATTGAAAATGACCTGGCCCTCAGAATTTATCCCAGCAAGGGTTTTCCTTCCTCTGAAAATAGGATAAGCCCAGTAATGATACTACCCCTGGGGAGCAATAATGGATAATAAGGGACATGATAAAGGATGCTACTTTTTGTAGTGTGTGTGGCCAGAGCATTCCACATGAAATTAAAAAAAAAGCCTAACAGGTTTTTACATATGAAACACCTTGTTAATTGTACGCATGTTGGGTTATAGACTTCTTACTCATCTTGTGTGATTGTAACTTCATACCCATGGAATGATAATTCCTCATCTCTCCCTACCTCTGATTCCCTGATAACCACTGTTTTACTGTCTACTTCTGTGTCTCTGACATTTTACATGCCTCCTATAACTGGAATCATTTATTTCACTTAGCATAATATCCATGCTTATTATCACAAATGATAATGTTTCCCCTTTTAAAATTTTATTTTATTGTAAAGATGCTGTATAGAGGGGTTACACTTACATGAGTAAAGCAATGAGTACATTTCTTGTCGAGCATTGTTACCCCTTCCCTTGTTGTTCTCCTACTATCCCTTAACCTCCCCCACCTCCCTCACTCCTCCCTACCTTTGAAGTTGTAAAGTTCATTTCCAACATACTGTCTTGTGTGTATCATTGTTGCAATGGGCCACCCTATGTCCTTGTTTCAGCATTTTGTTATTCCCCTTTCCCTCTCCAAATTAGACAAATGTACACACAAGATGCAGGGTACCAAAATCAAGTACAGTGACAACAGGGGATATATCACAGGGGGAAGCACATACAAAAAAAATCACATTGTGTGTTTAAAACAGGATATTTTCCTTTTTTAAAAAAGGCTAAGTAGTATTTCACTGTCTGCTTATGCTATACTTATGCACTATATGATGATTTAGGTTGTATCTTGAGTTTTATAAATAATGCTAAAATGAACACAGTATACAGATCTCTCTAAGATCTTGATTTCAATTTGTTTTGAACACTCAGAAGTGGGATTTACTGAATTATACAAAAAGAGATTCAGAGCTGGGATGTAGCTCAGTGGCAAAACGCTTGCCTAGCAAGTGCAACATCCTGGGTTCGATCCCCAGTA